TGATGAAACAATCGCATACCAGCGAACCGCTGAGATAGATTGCATTCGGATATCATACCAATTACATGGAAAAAATTGTGAAGAAATTGAAGTGACGATCATAACGAACTGCATATCCATGTGACAAACGGTGAGCTTTGCTAACGCGTTTAAAGGCAGCGTCCAAGCAAATCTAGGCCTATGGGGATCTCACTTGGAGGGTAATCTTGGAGCCCTAACTAAAACAATACCCTAGCGGCAGCTCAAATGGTGAGCTCACAGTTGAGATATTCGCCTCCAAACTGGATCCGGGATCGTATTCGCATGGTTTCATGGCGCGACCACCAGTTTCGCGCAGGACCCACGCGTGTCGCGCCATAAATCCATGCGAATACGATCCCGGGGTCCACTTCGAAGGCGAATACCTCAACTGTGAGTTCATCATTTGAGCTGCCGCTTAGGCAATGTCTTAGTTAGGGCCCTAAAATTACTTTCCACATTTGAACCCCGTATGTGCAGATTTGCCTGGACGCTGCCTTTAAAAATCAAAAACTCCAAATACCTCTGAAATCACTTTCTGCAATTGTAACCTTCGCGCAACTTAAGATATGTAAAAACCTTCAATGTTTCTATTATCCATTTTCGTCTTGGTAGCAAAAACACAAATTTCGAAGTAGCCCTAGTCTTGGGCAAACGAAAACCGATAGCAGCCACTGGATCATCTCAAATAAAAGAATCGTGATACTGTGATGTGTAATGGTCCAATTCATACTGCGAAATCCAAAGATGTGACCATGCTGCTAAATTTTACTCATTTTTCCGAAGCATTCTTGAAAAACATGTTCTTTGTCCGATACTAAAATCGAGATTCTCAGTTGCTCTAGGGAAGTTCAGGCGCATTCTGATAAGTAAGCAAAAAAATCATGTTACTTAAATTGCTAAGAATAGATCCGTTTCCAGAAAATGATGTAATTTTAGCTTGTGAACTATTGACATGAACGCAATCAACAGACACATCTTTGACGCACGCGAAGTGTAACCATGGAAAAAAGTTAACGTGAGCACATTCTTCTGTCGCAAAAAAATGAATTCTTCGAAAGCTCTGGGCATCAAAAAATGCACTTCGTATGTGCGAAAATTTTCCACAATAAAATACGGCTGGTGATGGCTGGTGCATGCCCACATTAGTATCACAAAATCAAATTTGAATCTGGCGCTAAGATCTCCAATGTTTCGAGAAAATTCCAGTCATTTCTGTATCTATATCATACCAGCTAGGACAAGCATCACTATTTTATTTCTAAACAAGTATGCACTTTCTTTTCATCAACACTAATCCTTTTGTTTCGCTGTGGAATTCGGACTTCTCAAAGCAAAAGGACAAATGTACTAATGCTAGTTGGGAGAATCACGTGTAAACAGTGGATGAACTCCAAAATGAGGGATGGGTTCTAGAGTGCAAGTGAACCAAATTAGGGACTTGTTTACTACGTTATTGTGGCAAAAGCTTATGATCAGGGATTCAAAGGGAACAAACGATAATGGGGAAGGGGGGGGGGATAACAAGCGCTTGACAGGGATTATATTGAACTGTAATTTTAGAAATGTGGCTGATTTTTGGTTTTGATGGATTCAGCAGATGGGAAGTGCACGAACTATGGGGAAAATGCTATGTAGCGTATAGAAGGAAAAGCAGTTCATGCACACTCTCGAATATAATAGGTCGTTCCGAAAATAATGTCGCTTTTTTCAAATGAACGCCACATTTCGTGGAATCAAGATTTTCAAGAGCTCTTGGGATCAGTCGATGCAGAATTTCATCCTCTTTCTAATGGTTGTAATCCCATTGCATAATATGCAATGAGCAGCTCGGCACGAGGTGGCTAGATGGAAATGGAAAAAACGAAGTCCCCCTTGACTTTTGGGAATTTTTACGAAGTCCCCTTTGACCCTCAACCAAATTTCCTCTAACTGAAAAATTCCCCAAAATCCCCCAAAAAACGGAGCTCTCAAAAAATTACTAAAACCTGCGACTTATGCTTTTTGTCATGGTCAAGTTCGGCTATTTTTCTATATTTTCGTACTGATTCCCCGAAGATGTGCAAGTCACAAATAAATAGAGCAAACCCTATAGGACACAAAACAATTTTTTTCCTCTTCCTTAGTTTGCTTCTTGGAGTTTGCAGAACCAATTTTTCAGTGCTATCAAATTCCATATTTGGTCAACTCAGACCTCACAGAACAACAACCGGCAAGCAACTCGAGTGTCATAGATGCAGCTTTTTCTCCTCTTTCTACCAGTTGTTTTCGGTTTCCGATTCACCAAGTTTTCCGGGATGAAATCACCAAAGTTCAGGTTTTCCAAGGCGCCCCAGGCTGTACCCAAAATTTCCGAAAGTTGCTAATCTGAAGCGGTAAATGCTCATATGCTTTGAAAAATTAGTGTTAAACCATAATCCACCTCTGTAAGTTTCAGAATCCGAAAGTTTATTGGTGTTTGATGCATATGTGTTTGAGATAAGCCTGCAAAAATTCGGTGACTTTATTGAAAAATCTCTACCAAAATTGTGACGAGATACGGAGAGCAGCAAAAAATAGCACCGTTTCCTATAGGGTTTGCTCTATCCAACCATTACTTGGACTCCTTCCGGGAGTTATTACAAAAAATTAGAAAAATTGTGAAACTTGACCTTCCCAAAAAGCATGGGTTGGAGATTTTAGTAATTTTTCAAAAGCTCATCGAGTTTCTGCAGTGGAATTATAGCCATTGGAAAGAGGATGAAATGCTGCATCGAATGCTACCAAAATCTCCTAGAAAACTTGCTTCCACGAAATGTAGCGTTCATTTGAAAAAGGCGACATTACTTTCGGAACGACCTAATATTTCAACAATGCAGAAAGAGACCAGATCCTCAAGTAAATGCGAAAAAGTGGAGAAGAAAAATTAGGTAGACGTAGTTGTTGCTAAAAAAAATTTGCCTAGGATAAGAAAAAAGCGAAAAGTATAGGTCACGCAAATCCTAAGTCTCGAATGGTAAGGAACAGATTTTTCTTCAGCAAAACAAGTAACAGCTAAGCAAGAGAAGAAAGATTCAAGAATCGGCACAGATGGAAGAAAGCTGTTGCAGAATGAATTTAATTGATGATTCATGTTCTGCATCAAGCCGGAAGATTTCGAAAGTAAGAAAATCGCAAATGCAAACAATTAACTAAGCAAATGGTCTTTGTGCTAGCAGAGCCGAAATTATCATGATTTGTTGGTGTGCGATGACTAACGCAGAAAAAAAGGAGGACGAAAATGGAAAACCGAAAACAAACACAGAAAAGTACGTTCAGGCAGAGCCTCATCAAAATATTAAACTGCACCAATTTGGACAAGAAAGACAGATTGGACAGACACTCAGGAAAAAGAAAAAGAATTTCAGAACGGAATTCATATTATGTGCAATGCGCATATGGCAAAACAAGGCACTGATAAGTACTGCCAATAGCAGAATACTAAATAAGTAGATGCGAAATGTGGATTCGCTTTGAAAACTGCAGCCATACAATCTAATTAATGCATGGTTTATGCAGCAACTAGACGGAATGCGAAACAAAACCAGCTGACTCCACTTTAGAATAAAAACCATGAATTACATGCTCATTTGCAAAATGTGCAAGTGGTAACTTAGGAAGAGGATGCAAAAAGATAGGAGAACAAACATGCACCGGTAGAGAATCAAATAGTGGGAATTAAAAACGCAAAATGAGAGCAGTAAAGTAAAGTGCAGATGATGTTATCAAGAAAGAAAAAAGTACTCGCTAATAGAAAAAGAAACACTAGAGGGAAGAATGTGTCAGCAGCCACTGTTGATATTTATAATATAATCGGATAAAATCAAAGAAAAGGTGTCTAGAATATTCTAGGAAACAGCACTGAACCAATATGAGTCAACAATAACGCAAGAAAGATTCGAGCGCCACTAAAATTAGTCAACTCCTGCTTTGAAAAAAAATTGCTTATTAGCGCAAGGGAGGGGGGGGAGAGAACTAGAATGTTCTAAATTTCACAATGCAATGCCATCTTTGAACTCATCAGAACAAGGTCTTTGACCGATGATCGGCTTATCCATCCACTCATCGAAATTGTGCAAAATTGGCCAAATCGGTCATGGGAATTGGCTTCGTGTGAAAAGCGACGAAGATAGGGATTGACAAATGTGCAACTAGAACTGATCCGCTGCAATAATCTGTAAAAACTCATTCCGCAGAACATGACTAGTTTATCGTTACAAAAACTAGAACAATGCGTCCAATTGATACGCTCAAAAATGCCACTACCCTCATCAGCGTGACTGGATCAGGGAAAAAACAATTACAAAAGAAGAGAACGGGAAGCAATAGAGTGAATAAAATTCGTGCTCCCTTTTGTTTGAGTAACGGATGTAGATTTCAGAAGAAAAGAAGACAAGTTGTATCAATCGTTAAGATAGTGTTGCACTTTGCATAGAACAGAAAACTACCGCTGACCCTATGAAGAGATAAGCAGATATGGAGATTAACGAATGACATCACTGTATATACATGAAATTCACTGGAGAATGTGAAATCAAATGATAAATGCAAGAAAAAAATCATGCAATCATCAGAAAACCAACAAATGAGGACATACAGTGCTTGAAAAAGTGTCATAAGCCATGATATGATAGCGAAGTGACAATATTTATGGAGCAAGAATGAGATGAGCGAGCAGCGCCAATCAATGCAGCATAACATGATGGATTGCCGTAGTTACGCAGGAGAACATAAAGGTGTCTGTGAACAAAGAGAAGCAGGCTTCTTAAATATTAATCCTCACGGCAAAAAAACGCTGAGAGGCAAATTGTTTCACTTCGGGTTGTGCGAGAGCTACAAGCCGTAAACGACAGACATATAGAGAAATGTGGGAAAGCTCATAAACAGCAATATAACGTTAATGAGAACCGAACAATGGGAAAGACCAATGTGAATTACCTGCAAACCGGTGATATGTGAATTACCTGCAAACCGGTGATCTTTGCCAGAAATGGCTGTGATTCGGCGACAGATGCGACAGTTAGAACTGGTTTTGCAAAATTATGGTTTCACGCAGAGACTAAATTCCGCGATTTGTCCCATGTTGCACAACACTTACTACGCCTAGAACTAATGTTCTACAAAAATAACCAGACAGAGTGGCCTCGTGGCAGATGGGGCAGGGGAAGGCAGCACATCAAAAATCGAAAAATAATACTATTATGAGAAGAAATAAGAAGTATGTTAAGCTGTACGAAAGCAAAAAAGTGCTATAACTAAGATGATAACTGACAAGTGATAAAAAGTGTTGAAAAAGAAAGTAAATGAGCGATATAGCTGCGTCAATGCCATGCATGTTTAAACACAACAGCTGCAACAAACACAGAATTACTTATTTGCTTGCCTAATGTGATATTTCACAGCCAGCACATCCCTTATAGATAGTTGTGATGGTCACAAAACCTTGACTACAGAAGTTCAAAAATTTTCAATTACGCAGATGCATGGCCTTTCACTCAAGTTTATAAGAAAGAAACGAGGGGAAACCGGATACGAACCAATAAGGCGGCCGAACATGAAAAACAGCGAGCCAGGCTTTACCTTATATATAAAGCTGAATGTCTGTTTGTATGTATGTATGTATGACTGTATGTATGTCTGTATGTATGTCTGTACGTATGTTCCGAATAGAAAATTCCATTTCTGAACCGATCCGGACCAAACTTGGCACACATACACTACGGGCCCCGGCGGGTGTCATAGGCTACTTTTCGTCATCGATCGATATCGATTTTATCGACTTTTATCGATTTTTTTGCTGAGTTCACCTACGGGGCTGGGAGTTGGCACAGGGGGGTAATCGAGCATGGGGATTCCGAATACAATATTGGTTTTCAGGATTATCGATTACTTTTATCGATTTTATCGATTTTTTTGCAAAGTTTGAGCTACGGGGCTGGGAGTTGGCACAGGGGGGTAATCGAGCATGGGGATTCCGAATACAATATTGGTTTTCAGGATTATCGATTACTTTTATCGATTTTATCGATTTTTTTGCAAAGTTTGAGCTACGGGGCTGGGAGTTCGCACAGGGGGGTAATCGAGCATGGGGATTCCGAATACAATATTGGTTTTCGGGATTATCGATTACTTTTATCGATTTTATCGATTTTTTGCAAAGTTGGAGCTAGGGGGCTGGGAGTTGGCACAGGGGGTATTCGATCTCGATTACACCCCTGTGCCAAATTCCAGCCCCCTAGCTCAAATTTTCAAAAAATCGATAAAATCGATAAAAGTAATGGACGATCCTGAAAACTAATATTGTGTTCGTAATCAGCATGCTCGATTACCCCCCTGTGCAAAATCTCAGCCTCGCATGTCAAAATTTACAAAAAATCGAGAAAATCAATAAAAGTAACCGATAATTCTGAAAACTAATATTGTATTCAGAATTCCCATGCTCACTTCCCCCCCTGTGCCAACTCCTAGCCCTGTAGGTGAACTCTGCGAAAAAATCGATAAAAATCGGTAAAATCGACATCGATCGATAACGAAAAGTGGACTGTGACACCCGCCGGGGCCCGAAGTGTATGTGTGCCAAGTTTGGCCCGGATACGGCGGAGCCGGGTAAGCCAGCTAGTTACGTAATATTGCAAAACCAATGCAGATCTTTTTCCGCGCAAGAGTGCGAATGCGAAAGCAAATGTTAACGTACACGAATCACAGATAAAAGATTGTTTTGTTGAGTCCATCAAAACTACGGATAAAAGAGAAAGAGCATGATGATGAACACAGAATCTGGTGACAAGCCTGGATTGAGTAACGAGCCTAACAGGAAGTTTCAAGACTTTTTGTCTCTTCTGACCAGCGGTAGTGTTGTGCAAGGATCCCTTCGAAAGATAATAAAGCGCTTTAACGTGAGACAAGCCTACCGATTCGAGAATCCTATCTGGACGGGTTCAAGATCATCATGCAAAACATTTACAGCACTTTTTTGGCTCCCAAGTCCAAGAACATGCAAGTCAACATTTTTCAAGTCATTCAAATCACCCTTCAACTACTAAAGCAACTAAAGCTGTTCTACATGAGATACCAAAAGCAAGCTAAGGTAGGTGCCAGAGTAAGCGAATATTTTGTTCAAGTTGGGTCTCGTGCAGAATTGACGTCACTTGGATTGACGCCAGCATGGTGAGAGACGTCAATTCACGGGACCCCAACCTGAACAAAATATTCGCTTACTCTGGCACCTACCTAAGAGATACGAGCAAACAACAGAAAAACGCAATAAATGGAATGTACCAAATGCCGTGGTAATGACCACTAAACCAATTGAAAAAAAACGTAACTAATTGTTTATGACTCTATAAAACTATCAAACTCAGAGAACATCAAACAAGCAATTTTCTTAACGCTAGTAGGATATGACATTCACGTGCAAGACATATCAATAGTTTCATAATGAGGTGCATAAGGCTTTCAAACCTGAGGGAAAACTGAGCGATTGAGCGATTCATCACAATATAATGAGCTTCGATAGGTTAGAAAAAACAATAGTGGAAAAAGTAGAGTCATAATCATCACCTATCACACATGTCACCACCTACAAGTCATCATAGTAGTAAAAAAGAGGCAAACTTAGGCAGATTAACACGAATAAAAGGGCAATGATGTGATAAATGTATAGATGATACGATGTATGAATGGTATAAGTATTAAAATAAGTAAACGAGTTATCCAAAAGGCTATAGAACGAAGTAAATGTTAGAAAGTTACATATGAAGACCTCCCGTCACCTCGACAGTGGCTCCAGTCATGTAACTCGAAAGATCCGACGATAGAAACAGTACAGCGTCAGCAATGTCGTCCGGTTCACCCATTCGTCCCATCGGTATCTGAGCACAAATGCTGGCCAAAACCTTTTCTGGCATAGCGGCAGTCATCGGAGTTCGAATAAATCCGGGCATGATTGTGTTCACTCTCACCCCTTTCGCAGACAATTCTTTAGCAGCAGACTTTCCGAACGCAACTACGGCAGCTTTCGTTGCAGAATAATTGCATTGTCCGAAATTTCCTACTTTTCCAACGATGGAAGACACATTCACAACAGAAAGGGGGACTTTCTGTGTGACAGCCGCTTTCGCAAATGCTTGAGTCACCAAATAAACTCCTTTTAGGTTGACAGCGACCACATCATCGAAGTTTTTCTCGGACATTTTGAGCAAAGTTGAATCTCTCGTGATTCCAGCACAATTCACCACAATACTCGGCGGCGAAGGATTTTGTCCCAAAGTGAATTCGAAAAGTTTCGCAACTTCATCCGACTTACTGACATCACAGGCGAAAGCAACGTGATCGTTGCTTGCTCCAAGAATATTTACTGTGTCCATAGCTGCACTCTTATTCATATCTGCTACTATGACCTTGGCTCCATGATTCGACAGTCGTTGACATACTGCTCGTCCGATTCCTGATCCACCACCAGTAACTACAGCTAATTTTCCAGTCAGCATTGCTGCCAAGATCGAGGAGGAGGTCTAGATAGAAAGAACAACGTTGCTGGGAAAATTCCAACAAACGAACAAAGTGCGAAGAGAAGGGAGCGAGAGTAGAAAACAGATAGGAAATGCACGATATTTTCCAATTTATTGTTTATAAACGGTCCAAATAGCCTGCAGCTACCAACTATACACCTAAGGAGATGCAGAAAAGAGGAATAAGAACATATGAAATGACCATCAGTAATGAAATCTGCAGAAATGAGAAAATTCTATTATCACCAATAGAGAAGCTACTATTTGTACGTCTGCCATCAATTTTTCAGATAACCAAGTTGACTACACTTACAAACGCTGCCTTGACAGAGATATAAAAAAGAGTGGCTGAAAAGCCACGAAAGGGAAAAATTCGATGCTCTCAAACCAACTCGGAAGTTTCATATTCAATGTAACAATAGCAAATGAAGATGTCATGTAATAGTTTATGTTCTGTGATCTCATACATTTACCTAGTCGACAGAAGGAAAAAAGAAGACAAAAAAGCAAGAATGAAGTTCAAATCTGCAATCAGCTTGCGGTGCAATTTCGCGCTCACACCATGGGTGCTACAGTAATCTAAAACTGGCAGCGGGGCAAAAGCTAAAAAAGTTGAAACTAGAATTTGATTGTGTTGTCTGCATTTTGTTGTAAATACATATGATGAAAAAAGGGGAATGCTGACCTAGTGACATATTTCTCTCTGTGGACATTCATCTAAGTGACATCTAATCAAAGAAAGAAAAATGTTTGTAGAGAAGAAGACAACACTAGGGTGCAAACGATCTTATGAAATAATTTATTTGCATTGAATAGAGCTCAACATTGTCTTAAAACGTTGTCTTTGGTGATCTTCATCATGTCCGCGTCATATTTTCGATTTTAGCACTGAAACTAAGAAGAAAAAATCCGAATTCGATATTTCTCGAAAACTACGCTCGGAATGGGCTGAAAACCTACAGTTATGCTTACCTAGGCTTGTAGTGTAGAACTAGTGTAGAACTATATATGCAATAACGGCTCAGCATTGCTTTGGGAAAATCAGGGAACTTTTCGTTTTCTCAGTTTCTAGTCAAGGAAAAAATACAGCAATCGCACATATGGATATCCGATATCGAAAGTATTGCAGTGAGCGAGTGGGAGGACCATAGAAATTATTTGGACGAAGATCTGATTTTTTTCGATTTTTTGGGCATTTGGAAATCTTTAGATTTTCGAACTCTCCGTGGATCGAGCTTGGCGCAAAATCATGGATGCCATCTTGTAGAGCTTGCTTTGCTCTATCAACAATACCCCTTATCCTTTGTAGGGTTGAGTCTGGTTGCTTTGTCAAAACAAGCAAATAAAAATCGACATTATATTCTTGGCAACCTAATAATTCGAGCAACCATAAAAGATCTCGGAATAAAATCATCACAGCCAATAAGAGGAAGCTTTTTTGCATCGAATATTGATGAATCATTTGCCCATTAGCACTCTGAACGGTTTGAGATATCTCTGAAAAACGACATGCGCTTTCGGACCGACCTAATATATAGTTTTCGCTAACGATGGTAAGCTCAACGTCTTCTACTAAATCCTAGCCGCCTTTGATCAGATTCTGCAGGCATTCCATGACAGTTCTTCGCTTCCTCTCTTCCTCCACTCTCAAATTCCTATAGACGTCTCACTTCACTTGTCAATGCAGCTGCATAACTCATCGGCAGCGCGGATAGGCACGCGCCATAAATCCACTTGATCCACTTTACTATTGGTCATGTCAGTGAACTGACCAATAGCGGTGTGGATCAAGTGGATCAAGTGGACATCCGTTTCATTTGGTCAGATCACCGATGACCAGTAGCGAAGTGGATCAAGCGATCAAGCGGATCAAGTGGATTAAGTATGGCGCATGCCATATTGCCATACCAGCTTTGTCTATGCCTTAGCCACCAAAGAAATAGCTTCTGTATTTGAAGAGAGAATTGTCTTCACGCCTACAAACAGCAGTTCCCTCGAGAAAACAGCAAGTCTCGTGGGAAACATGACTCCTACATTCGCTCATCAAGTAATTCCAATTCTTTGTTAAAAAATTTAAAAATGTTGGGCAAGGAGCGATAAGCTAAAGCATCAACATCACATTTGCTGAAACAAATAACCCCTCTCTCTCTGTTTCTGAAATCGTAGCTTCCGCTTATCTTGATGGATAAAGGCATTAATTTTATTTGAAAATCAAAATCATGATAGTAATAAAAAATGTTTATATTTGTGTTAGTTATACAGGGTGTCCCAGAAAAATGTGAACACTGTTTGATTGTTAATAACTCCCTTGCTTTCATGTCTTTCGCCGAGCTTGAATGACCATTCTATAGAGCGAGGTTCAACTTAGATTTACAGCATGGATTGAATTACCTATCCCTTTTCGTTACTGTAGGATTACGGTAGAAATTTCGACAAGGATTTTGGACCATTGGAGGCCATATTCTGCCTCGGAACAAAACCAAACAAGCCAAAAACTTCTATACTATGGTAATGGAGGACGCTGATTTCGTATATGAAATTCCCACTTTACTGTGATGGTTCTTTTCAAGGTTATCCTAGGTAAACCGTAATAACTGAATTTCCAGCATCTGTCAGAAATGTGATACACCGTCAGAAAAGCTAAAAACACTCATAGAAAGTTGTCTAATGGAATTAGCGTGCACGAAAACCCTAGTACACGATATTTTTCAGATTTTTTGAAAAAACTTTTGCCAAATGGCATATTTCACAATAGATCCACATGCTAGAAGTTCATACCATAATCCCACAGTAACGAACAGTGATCGGTGATTCGCTCCATACTACAAATCTAAGTTGAACCTCACTCTACACAATGATGCCTCAAGCTCGACGAAAGACCTGAAAGCAACGGAGTTATTAACGATCAAACAGTGTTCACATTTTTTTGGACACCCTGTATTTCGAAACCGCTTCGTTCTTACAGGGTGGGGCAAAAGTCTGGGAGCCTACTTTGCAGTGCTGTCAATCAAGCAACTACTGATGATTTTGGCTCCAAACTTGAGCCACTTATTGCTACGATCATTCTCTACAAATCACACTTTGGATGGCTGAAAATGCTTGCCATATGTTTTGGTAGGAATTGGATTTATCAAACAAATGCTTTTGCAAAGCGAAAAAATCGAATTTGGTCTTCACAACTTATTTGATAGCTAAAGATACAGTGGATATTCTAGAGCACCACATGCACACAATGTAGAGAAGACCTTGCGCTATCAGTTCGTAGTCGTTGCGTTTGTCAGATATCATTCTTTCGAAAACGCAAAATAAAAATTTGCGAATAAAACCTGCGTGCCAGTGGCCATTTTTCTTTGAAAATAAATTTGAAAGCTATAGGAGCACAGCAGGCACTGAATTCTAGGCTGTATTCTTTCCATGAGTCTTCTATGCAAGTATGTACTTGAGTTCGATCAATTAAGCAATTTCAATACTTTTCAGATTACGATTCTTCGCTCCCGTTCGCGCAATCGCATCCACATTTCCAGTATGCAAGTACACTGGCCTTCAATAAAAATTCCAAAATTTTTCCCTAAACACTGTCAAAAAAAATTTCTTCGCAGTACGTTGTAGCCAAAAGCTTGCTCTATCACATCGCATGCTTGCCTGGTGAAAGAAACAGTTATCGTAAAGGCGTAGGACGAATTTTATCACGACTGCCTGCGTGCCACGACAGGCGGAGTTACCAAGATTTCGAAGGGCTGCTTTGAAGCCAGAAGAGGCAATCTCAAAATTCGAAAGCAGTGCTGTACTTGTACAGGTTCGATTTATGTGACACCGAACTTTTTATTCCTAGGCACTTTCCTTCTGATCTTATCTGAAAAAGTATTAGGCTCCCAGACTTTTGCCCCACCCTGTATATTGTGCTTGAACGGGGTGTTGCGTTGTTTCCATGCCACTCCTGTTTCCAGTGAGGAAGGATGCTGTAGTCAAAGTCGATTTTTTATATTTCAAATAAAACCCCCCTTTGTAATTCTAAAACTCAAATATTCAATTTCAAATAATATTTTTAGTTCACTTTTTACAAAGGCAGTTAAAAGTTCTTAGTGTAAGAAATGTTCATTGTCTTTGCCCTTCCGAATGGCACACTATTGCCAATAAGCTTCTGTGCGGAGCTAGAAATAAGAGAAGACCATTTAAACATTAAAGAATCGACAATTCGCCGAAAATTCTGAAAGGCTCGTAACAATATGGAACAGTCAGAAGCTCGTGAGGTTGCACCGGAAACTTTGGGAGAAAAATCGCTGACTCGCAAAATTATCTTTCGAACACCATAGGAACAGAAGAAGAGAGAGAGAAAAAAAGAAGAGCACTGAAAGAAGCAGTAACAATCATCAAACAGGGTAAGTGACATGTGTATTACTTGCTTAGTAAATTAAATCTTGCAGTTTTAGTGAGATGAATCTTTGTCCTCTTTGATCTAAGCACTAGTTCCTGAACGAAATCACTGGTAGTGAAAAACGGGACAAAAAAATTTTTGGCGTACAATTTCATAATTTGACGGTTATTTGGACTAAGATTTCTCATGTGAGCAAAAGTGGGAGTGTGCTTTGTACTATGTGCAAAAAGAGATACCTAACACATCTTAAGAGCGAATTTAATTATTCGAAAATGGCCATTTCAATTGTGTGGCCCATATCTGGAAACCTCGGATTCTGCTGGAACTTAGGCCATAGGGTTATCTGACATGCTAGTCACGAATGTGCCACTCATGGTGCCTCTGCCTACGGTAAATAAAAGATTAGGAGGTGGGTACATGCAAGGAGAACCCATGGGAGGGGGAAAGGAGGAGGGGTGGGGGAGATCGTGTCCGGAGAATGCCACAGATCTTGTTCAACCCTGCTTATAAACTAGTCATCAAAGAGTAGATGACTTTCAAATTTTAACGAAATTATCAGGGTGTTCATAATTTTTTCCCAATTTTACAAAATTACAGTCTTCCT